CACTGAAGCTTCTGGGTCACTCCAGCAGAATCCATTCTTTGAAGCTTTTCACCCTGGACTCTGCCTTTTCTTCATGGGTGGTGGGCATAGATGAGTGCTCTGCCCAGGGACCTGTGTCAGTTCCCGGGGCTCAGGGGAGTCCGCCTGGAGTGCTTGAGCTCCTTTTGCTCCTGTTGGGCCCTTGTGCTTTTATGAGCAAGAGTTGATGCTGCAGCGGAGGAGGGGTTTGTCCTCCCCCCCTCCTTTTCTGCATAAGATTTATCATATTTGCCGACGTGATTTACGCACTCTTGGTTGCTCTCCGATCTGCGGTTTTGTTATGATTTGGCGGCCATTTTGCTCTACTGTTCGTGCGACCGGCCACCAGGGCGGCGCTCTAAGTCGTGCCGCGTCTTTCCCCAGCTGTAGTTGGTTAACCATGTTTACATATGGTGACTGGGCATTTGGACCCACTTTTTAGGACATTTTTCAAATAGTTCATGCATTCTTGTTCTTACTGGTTTCTCTGTCATTCACTTTTATGAGACATATCTCTAGTATGGGTTATGTCTGCTATGAAAGTAGTGAGGAAGTACATGGACTGGTGTGTGGTTAACGCATCACTGCTGAGGCGTCGTCAGTTGTTAGGTCTGACCTGGTTTTAATGTTGTCGTCGTCTTGTATTTGCGGGGAGTTGAGCTTCAGCCATTTGAGCCCACCTCTCTCCCGTCATTCTCCTGGGGGGCTCATTCCTGAGCTTCTTGAGCTCTGCAGTTCTCTGTTACATGCCTCACCTCATCGCTGCCTCCTGCATTCCTTTTCTTTACTTCTCTGCTTCTGGACATGTTCTTTTTCATGTCTCTGTGGCTCCTGTGAGTACTCAGTTTCCTCTGTTGTCCCATTAGGGGTGTACTCCTAATATTAAGGCATCCATCTTTTCCTATCCCGTCTTGTCTGCAAATGCACATATCCCTTTCTTGTCTCTTCCTCAGGAAGTTTTTGAATTCTTGGGATTACCTTTCTTTTCCCTTTTGGTACGGGTTGATTGATTTTATATCCATTCTTCATTACGGTCTCTGCCACTGCAGTGCGTAATATATATGGATCCAAACAGACGAGCTAAAGTTGGTGAATGACATTGTCTTGTTTATTTATATTTAAAATGTCCAACCCTATTCGTTTCCCCCAAGAACTTATGAGTGGTGGTCATGTCTCCCGGTCTTGTGTTACCGCACCGTCTTGTCTTGTGTACACGGCTGTGGCACTTTGTATATTATTACCTCTGTCTTGTGTTTACTGACTGTGATCCTTGAATTGTCTTCTTTGTTTTATTGTTGGCACCAGTTTTGTGCCTGGTGTACGTGCCCTATATGCTCATCCGGCTCTCAGGCCTACAGCCCTCGGTATCCTGTCCATATTCCAGCCGTTTTAGCCTTGGGGCTCTCTTTACTCAAAAAAAAAAAAAAAAAAAAAAAAAAAAAAAAATACAACTCCATAAACCTTTCTTCAAATTGTGTGTCTTATCTGCCGGCAAATGTGGTTGGTCGGGCTCCCCCCAGGTTTATTTCCGGGTCCCAAGGATTTCTCATAATTGCCTTCCTCTCGGATTCCCGTGGGGGGGGAGTTTGGGGGCCCTATGCAGGTACCTACTGTGAGACCTGGTTTACACTTCTGTGTTGGACCCGGTTTTGAGTTAGATTCCTCTTGCACTGATCGTATGCATTTCGAGGTTCCCGTGTCTTCCTGGCTGGCAGCCTGCCTTGATGACTAGTTGTGTGGGACCCCAGCCGGTCTGCTTGTATGCTAGTCTGGAATCTAATTCTTTCCCAGCTTTCTGGATTTGAGTTCCTGGTATTTTGGCAGAAGTCCCAGTTGGTTCCGTCCCTGGTTCAGACTTGGCTGGGCCTCGTATGGGATTCTCAAACTGTGTCCGTTGCTCTCCCTTCTGCGGTTGTGCTCCGGTCGCTGTCCCGCTTTTGGCTGTTTTTGAGGGGGACCTGGGTCACTCGGCGGTTGCCCATGCAGCTATGCGGAGCCTGTATTTTGCCCTCCTGATTTATTATTTGGGCAGGATTTGGCTTTGGAAGCTGTTCTGGTGTCTTCAGAGCTGCCTCTTTTGCCATATTCGTGACCATTGGCTTTGCACCCCAGTGTTCTTACATTGGTTGCTGCATCAGCGGCTTCCTCTTTCTGGTTTTTGGGGTTCGGTGCCACGGTGCTTTCCCCTTCCCTCACTGTGTGTGTTCAAGGATGCTTCGTCTCTCATTTGGCACACTGGCCAGTGCTCACCCGTCTGGCCGGGGGCACTGGGGGGCGGTCCTTCCATCGGGCTCATAGCCCGGAGCAGGAGTTTGCTGTTGTGTTGCAGGTGTTGTGCTGCAATCGGCTTCCCTGGGGCTCCTTTCGGACTGCTTCCCCGTGGTTTGTGGTCTCAATCATGAGGGGGGGGGGTGTTGGTCTGTGGTTCTTTGGGGCTGGTCGCTTCAGGTAGCTCTTCTGCCGAGTTCTCGGGGTTTAGATCTCCACACGGTTAACATTCATGGCGTGTCCAACGTTCTGGCAGACGGTCTGTCCCATTTCATTCCTATTTCCACAGAGTGGACCGTCACTGCCGCTTCCTTCCTTTTGGCTTTGCCGGATGTACGGCCACCAGGAGGTTGACCTCGTTGTGTCGGGTGGTTTCAGCATCTCCCTTTGTCCGTGGTGCTGTTCCCCAACTGTGAGGTGGTTGTGGTGGATGCTTTTTGGCAGGTCTGGTCAAGGTGGGGGTTTCTGTACCTCTTCCTCCCAGTCCAGCTGTTGCTCCAGGTCCTGGCTCACTTGGAATCCAATAAGAGGAGGGGTCTCCTGGCTCCATGGTGGCTGGCCCAGCCTCATTTTCAGGTGCTGTTTGCTTGGTGTTAAACCCAGGCATCTCTCCATGGCTCCACCACTTCCAGCAGTTCGGGCCAGTGAGGTAGCTTCCTGGTTCGTTTTCCTGCTCCGCACTTCATGTCTGGTCTTTTTGACATGGGTGTATCGCCTTTTCTATGATGATCAGATGACTTCTTTGGGACACCTGCGGTGTTCTTCAAGGTGACAGTATGAATTCTCTTAGTGGTCTTCCTGTCAGATCCTTTCTCTACAGGGGTTTTCAGCACTTTCGGACCGTGTTGTGTTGTCGTCCTCTCTTGGCTTTTTCTGGACCGGCATCTCATGTTGAATACTGTTGTTTCCTATCTCACAGCGCTGGCAGAGCCGCTCCAGCTTGCGTTCAGGGTGGATGTTACTTCTGCTTGTGCCGCAAGCTTTCGTGTGCGTTTTTTCACCTCTGGCCTAGTCAAGCACTGCCTTAGTCTCCCTGGTCCTTCAATCGGGTTTTTTCTTTTCAGTTTTCTCATTTTGTTGAGGCCCCATCGGTCGGAGATTGTTTTCGATTTGTTCACTTGTAGCTTTCTCCTTTTCTGGCGAAGAATGAGATAGCTGGCTGGCTTCCATAAGGATCCGTTGGTGATGGTTGCTTGGTTAGGCCGGGGATGTATCATGTTTTGGCTGGTGGTGGTGGTTTCCGCTGCTACCTGCGGGCCTCTGGTTTTGTGTCACCGGCTGTCTTTGGTCATATGACCTGGGTCGACTGGGCATGGGGGCTTTGGTGGTTGAACAGGGTCCTGGCCGCTAAGTATCTTGTAAATGTTCCGGGCCCTCTCCAGCCATGTGTTGCACTGGGGCGTCTGTCACAGCTGGATGTGTCTGCTTCGTCTTGAGTCCTGTGATGCTGCCACCTCCCAGCTAAGTCCGTTTTACTTATTTGTGGATAGTTAGCTTCAAAGAGCCGATTGTGCTCCCACAGAAAACCAGCATTGAATGTAATGAAACGTCATTTTTTGGGCAAGCCCCGGAGGCTCCCTGACACCCACCCTCCCTCCGGTCAGCAGTTTTAATCTTTCTAGAACCGAGGTGGTGACCCACCGGCTACTGATGACCCCAAACTAATATTGCACATGTCAGTTTGATTAGCTTTGGGGAGCCTCTGGGGCTCGCCCAGAAAATGGTGTTTCATTACATTCAATGCTAGTTTTTCCTCAGCTCGTGTACGAGCTATATGGATGAAACGTTTTCAAGATGAAATACATATCCTAAGCAAGAGGTATGCCAATTTACAAGAAAATCGATCAATTAAAAGTGCCACAAAATATTGCCGGAATACTGACTTTATTTTTGCAAGTAATTTTTTCCAGCTTCATGGTACAGGTACTTGCTTAATTTCCAAGCAATTCACATCAAACTTACAGAATATATGCAAAGTACCTAGCTCTACATTTTCTATTAGTCATTTTATATTTTAGTGCAGAAATCAAGAGTTAGCAATTTCAAAGGTGTGATTTGCACATTTCACAGGGTGGTGACAAATTGTTTTTACTACAACTAGACAATAGAAATTGCTAATGTAAACTCAAGATTAGATGCCATTACTATAGCTAAGTGCATTAGAGATGAACATTAAATCTCTATTAGTTATTTTTTTTAAATGTGCCTTTTCCTTCAATTTTTATTTTTTTTCATAGGGTAAATATTGTTTTATGCGGCAAAAACTTCTGTCAGTAAGAGGGCTTAGCAGTTTTATTCTGCCAAGAAAATTTCTTTGGAATTAAACAACTTTTAAGTTTCTAAATTATGCACCCTTAACAAATTTGTAATTCTGCTGTATACTGAGAATATATATACAGTACATTAAATTTACATGACAAATATATGAATGTTGTCATACTTCCCATTATATCTAGGCTCCGAGAGATTAGTCAAATGTGTCTTGTGCAAAGATCAATTTCAACATCCATGTACCCATGGATAAATACAATTTATTAACATGTACATTATATCACAAGGAATAACAAACATTTACTGCTATGAAAAAAAGTTTAGTACACAAAAATATATATTTTAAGTAAAGGTACAAAAAAACACATGGCAAAACAAAAGGTACAGAACGTTGCCATAGCAGCCATCCTAACAAATCTGAAAACAAAAAACTTGCAGTATACCTGTTCACTGATTGCTCTCCAGCCAAGATCATCTGTGCGGTCACATTCATAGGTTTCACCAAGAAGAGGGTTGAAAGGTTTTGCTGTTCTTTCAGCTGTTGTAGCATAAGAAGAAACTGTAAAAGCAGCAACCAATGACAGCTGTTCACACGTGTCCTCTGTCTGTAACATCAAAGAAAAGTTTTATCATGCATTACCTGGAAATTAACAAATTTCATTAATGTGATAATTCAACAACAAAACTAAAAAATAGTTTTTGGTAGTTATGCTCAAGGAACCAAGTGACTTATATCAGCATTCTTCAAACTCAGTCATGACCCATCAATGGAACATAGAAGATTGTTCACTGGGTTGCCGCTAGGTAAAGGAAATATGAAAACTTGCACGAGAACAAAAAAAAAACAAATTATAATAAAGATGCTGCTAATATTTTTTGGATATTAAATTGACAGTAGTGTAATGTGCCTTGCATTTATTATCTTTTACAGTACAGTAGTTTATCTCAATAGATGTATTTAGATGTATTTGGTAATAGATGTATAACAGGTAATGAGAAGTTTGAAGAACACTGGCTTAGATGATCCAATCCACAATATATGTTCACTTAGTACATCTCTTCAGTGTGCATCACTTCTATGACCAATTGCAATAAAGGATAGGTAATATTTGTTTTATAAAAGGTCACTGCAAATGAAAAATTGTTCACTTAACATTGCATAATTTTGATAGAAAAATGCAAATACAAAGTATAGCTCCTAAGAGGGTGCTTGAAAGATTGGAGATAAAGATGCAAGGAAAAACACTGGATGGTATAGTAGTCCATTCCACATGATGGTTACAGAATTGTCGGGGGTAATAAAGAGAAAATAGGCAGTATAGCACTCAATTTTATAATAAGCAACACTTATCTAACTGTACAGCTGTGCCATAATTGGAATGGACAGGGAAGCTCATTCACAGTGTGAGAGCATAATAGGCATGGCATTGTTGGATTGTTTTAAGCAAAATTTAGAAACATTTGTACAAATTCAGTTGATTATTAACAGAAGCCACCTCGCAAGGACCAACCAATAAGCCTTCAGCAGTTTCATGTACTTTTTTGTTTTTACGAAGTGGCAGAAGAAGAAAGTGATACAACTTTGGGCAACATGCCAATGACTTAAGTATGAATAGAAGGTTAAATGAACTTATCAATTTAGCTTTTCTCTAAATTGTAACAAGAATTTTGGTACAGGAGGAGTTATACTAAATGCATGAGTATCACTCTAGGTATGAGTAAATGGTATGCTTGTAGAGTTGAGTAAATGACAAGCAAGATGTCCTTTGAATATGAAGAGTTGCCTAACTCTTTGGAAATAGTCTTGGTAATTAAAATGTGTGTAAAGTTTCCAGGAGAGTGGATATAACAGATGCATAGGACATCATGAACAACTGAGCTTCGATATACGTTATTTTCAAAACAGAGCTGTAACTTAAGAATTTGGTTTGATGTAATTGCCAAAAACTCTTATTGGCTGTAAAAAATGGCAAAATTTTTAGTGACCCCAAAGAGAGACCAAGTTGAGATTAGAGATAAACATTGTAGGAGGACAGTAACTGAAGTATGAGGAGGAGTATAAAGTCATCAGCATTAAGGGGTGATACACTATAAGGAAGATTAACCAATAGTGAAGTAGGTGGTGACAGAACAGAATAGAATCATTTAGAACACTACAATTAAAGGCAGAGGAAGAAGTTCTACCAGTTTCAATAGCAGTGCTAAAGCTGAAAGGAAACTGAAAACAAAATCAAGTGCACAGAGTTGAAAATTGAAGGAGGGAAGCAGTGAGAGTAAACAATTTTGCCATGTGCTGTCAAAACTTGGAAATATTCATAGTACTGTATATAAAATATTTGTTATAAGCATAAATCGAGGTGAGGAATCAATACTACTAAAAGTCCTCCCCCCCCCCACACACACACACACACACAAAAGTGTTGAATGTAATGAAACACCATTTTCTGGGCTGAGCCCCAGAGGTTCTCTGAAGCTATCTGAACTGCTATGTGCTATATTAGTTTGGGGTCATCAGTCACAGGAGTTTCTATGCCTACCAGGAACCAGGGGCCAGATTCACGAAGCAGTTACGCAAGCACTTACGAACCTGTCCATCTTTTCTCAATCTTAGGCGGCTTTGTTTACAATTATTAAACAGTTCATGAGGTCCAAAGCACCAGAAGGCTGTTTATAACAATAACAACAGTTGATTGGGAAGTTTTCATGCTTGTAAACTGTTTAATAAATGTAACCAAAGCCATCAAAGATTGAGGAAAGATGTACACGTTTGTAAGTACTTGCGTAGCTGCTTCGTGAATCTGGCCCCCAGAGCCAGAACCTGGTCCCCTCAGAGATGCAGGGAGCAATAACATATGAGCACTTTACATTTAAAGTATGTTATGTTCTGCCATCAACTGGGGTGGGCACCCAGAAAGAAAGTAGAACCAAAGCAAATAACTAGCCGGTAAAATTGCGACCTACAGCCAGAAAGGGGAAAAAAACTCCTGTTGGATAAAAAAAAAAAAAAAAAAGCATAAGAAAATAGCAAACTTGCAACCCTGCCCTCAACTAGTTCTCCCGGTTGTTAGCGTACCCCCACCCCCCACACTGCATAGGGGGATGGGGAGTCTGCCACTCACCACCTCAGTTCTAGGCATGATGTAAAACAAAAAATCTGCCAACCAGAGGGAAGGAGGGTGTCAGGGAGGCGCCAGGGCCCTACCCAGAAAATGCCATTTCATGACATTCAATGCTGGCTCCCTGAAGCTAGTGTCCCGGCAGCCCAGTCCTTGACCAGGCCATGGGAATGCTGGCTCCCTGAAGCTAGTGTCCCGGCAGCCCAGTCCTTGACCAGGCCGTGGGGACACTAAGCCCCAAAATCATCGCAGAGTAACCGCAAGGTAAGGTAACCCACAGAGAAGGAAAAACAGGGACATACCCATGAGGCTGCAGCACCGCAAGGCTCAAGTTGCAGAAAAGACCTACTTCCAAATCCTTTGCATCCGAATGGCAACGGCAAGGGCACAAGGGCAGACCGCAGGTTGGCAGGGATGGATGACACTGTGGATAACCTGAGATACCCATGCCCAGGAAGATGGAACTAGAGAAACTGGATCCACCCAAAGAGCAGCCACCAACACAGAACCAGTGGCCTGCAGGTAGCAGCATAAAGCCGTCACCAGACCCAACACATGATGCACCTCCGGCCGAATCAAGGAATTAACTACCACCACCGGACACCTCCGGAAGCCAGCCAGCTCATTCTTCGCCAGAAAACAAAGATAAGGCAGCATCCAAACAAAACGCCTACCCGGATCAAAAGAACAGAACCCCGGAGCCAGAGGAAAGCATGAAGCTCCCAACCCGAGCACCTGAGGCCAAAGCCAACAAAGTAAGGCCTACCGAAAACAATTACAACCGAAGGGGACACCACAAAACGATAAGAAGAAAGAAAAGAAAGAACCTGGTCCAAAGAGTAGGAAGGCGCAGGCAGCACACGAGCAGGCCAGAGGTGAAAAAACGCACATGAAGGTTTGTGGAACGGAGTGGAAAGAACATTCATCCCGAACACAAACGGGAGCAAGTCCACCAACGCCGCACGATAGGAAATGACGGTATTCAGCATAAGATGCCAGTCCAGAAAAAGAGAGAGGACAAAACAACCTGGTCTGAAATTAATGAAAAACCCTGAAGAGAAAGAAATGACGTAAAGACCACCAAGAGACTTCATACTGTCACCGAGAAGGTGGTCACAGGTGGGACACCAAGAAACCACCTGATCACCATAGAAATGACAATACACCCGCGTCAGAAAGACTGGACGCGAAGAGTGGAGCAGTAAAGTGAACCACCAAGATACCCCACTAGCCCGATCTGCTGATAAGAGGCGGAGTCACAGAAAAACGCCCGAGTTTAACATCGAGCAAGCAGCACTTGAAATCAAGGCTGGGCCGGACACTGTGGCGCCAGGAGAACAACCTTCACCAAGATAGGATTCCAAGTGAGCCAGGACCTGACTGCTGAGGCCTGACAGCTGAGAGGACAGCACTTTGGATTCGCAGTACTGAGGTTCCAGGTTTGATCTGTGGTGGAGGTGGAAACAAATGGGCAGATTTTCTTTCACCATGATGCCCCTGTTACCTAGCAGTAAATAGGGACCTGGGAGTTAGACAGCTTATTTGGGCCGCTTCCTGGGGATGTGTAATGAAAAGGAGGCCTGATAGAGGACTGGGCCACAGGGATACTAAGCCCCGAAATCATCTCAAGATAACCTCAAGAAGGACCTGAAGCAACAGCTGGATCAGGGGGAAGAGGTCGTGGAACCCCCACCTCAATCAGGCATGCCGAAAACTATCTACTACAAAGGCCTCGCAGTCGAGGAACGGCGCTTTACAATGGGAGACCCCAAAACCACGCCGACGCGAAGAAGTCTATATCCAGGTGCCCATATGTCCAGCAAAGCCAAAGGATGGAAGCAGCGTCAACCGTCTATACTCCATCAATGGAGGAATGAAATGGCCAGCCATCAGCCAGAACGTGGGACATGTGCTGAATGTTAACTGCACGGAGCGCTAAACCCAGAGAACTCGGCAAAAGAGCTACCCGAAGCAACGAGCCCCAAAGAGCCACAGATTGAAAAGACAATCCCCCCAGTTGAGACAATGACCTATGGGGGAGCAGTATGAATGGAGCCAAATCAAGGAGCCCTGAGGAAGCCAAATACAGTGCAGCACCTGCCACAACTCCCACACCATGCTGTGTGCCTGACAGAAGTACTGACTCCCAACTTCCCTGGCCGGACTGGTGAACACGGGTCACAAAATCCCAACCCAGGGACGCAAAAACCAGTTCTCACAAGAGGTATGCACCAAGGGCCTCCCAAACCCCCGCAAGGAGATTCCAAGAGAAAAAACTTCTGTAAAGATCAATCAGAGGAACCCTAGGGCCCCCAGAAATGAACCTAGGGGGAGCCCTACCTACCACATTTGACAGTGGATAAGGTGCACAATGTGAATGAAAATATTGTTTTTTATTTGTTCTATTTCACCCAGATAAAAAGCCCCACGGCTAAAATGGGCACAATACAGACAGGAAACTGAGGGCCGTAGGGTTAGGAGCTGAACGA